AGCTGTGTGCTCATGGCTCTGCTCATCGATCAGGACACTAAAGCAGAGCAATTACCTTTACAGTCATCGTCATGGCAATATAGCAACACAAAATTTCGCCTATACATATTAGCATGGCCATTAAATATGAATCCTCGCAATAGTTGCTATCATTCATTATCCTGCACCATTGTACACAAGTAGGTCTATGTGATGCACGATATGCGTACATCTTCATGCTATTACCACATAAAGACATCAGTAAACTTCAAGTTCTTATACCGAATAACTGATGCCGGCAAACCCATCTGAGACAACCTCCCGTCGACAGTGACTCTAGCGCAGTCCATAAATCACACACATACTTTGTGCTGACCCATCTGAGACAACCTCCCGTCGACAGTGCCCGTAGCGCAGTCCGTAAATCACGCATATACTGCGTGCTTACCACGTCAAAGAAGTTTGACGCATCAATCACGTGAGTTCGTGGAACGCAACAACGCCGGTTGAAACTTCGTTTGCAGAATGAATGCTCTCAACAAAACCGAAGCCGGCGTGTGTCTGTCGCTCTTATGTCTTGTGTCGAATCCCACACCCGTCGCTCACTATTGAAAAGGCTCGGCAGGTCGGACAAGATCGTGCTGCTCTTTCTTGATATACCAGTAGGGTGTATATCAATAGGGGCATTTTTGGCACGGGATGTGCCAAGTGCCATCTAGATAAGTTACTTTTAAAAGCCGTTTCTAGCGCCTAAACATTGTGTGTACGATTTTATCCAGTGATAACTTTTTCAAGACGCCAGTGGTACCACGTCCGCCCATTATTTGAACATGTTAATAACGATAACAAATGTGCCTTGATAATCTTCACATTTTCGTTATGCGGTAACAAGGCATGCTGTTTCAAATGGGATGTTCCACATTTGAAGAACTTGAAGCAAGAATCAGATATCATTGAACAGGCTCACTTATAACTATTGGCATGCTTTCAAGTGGAAGAGACTGCGCTTGACAACACTATTTCTCTGTGTAGTGAATATGCTCCCCAATGCGTCATTGTTTGATTGCGCCTCGTAGCTTGCACAACATTGAGAGCCAGTTGACGACCGTTATGTATGGGAATCCTGCTCACGAACGCCACACATGAACGACTCGGCAATTGCACTTTTTGTTGGCAGTGATCGCCGCATGGCTAATGAAATGGTATGATTTGAATGACATTATCATAGTGTCATGGATGTCTGGGTGACCTTGACATAGTCTCTCCGAAAAAGCATCCACATCTTCGCGGGCGTGGAACTCAGCAACTAGGGTGTTAAGGTCTTAAGAAAGGCATAGCTGTGAAATGCACCGAATGATCTTCAAGATGGCGCTTTCATTTTAAAACCCCATACAAATGTTGAACACTCCCTTTAATGTTTGATCTTCAATCTATTAAATGGGTCAATGCCAGCTATTCTCATCCTGCAAGGTCCAAGGTCATGCAATGTCCTGCAAGGATGCCAATATTGCAATGTTGGGCTCCAATTTTATATTGTAACGGTGCCAGTGATGAGTGTTTTTTAATCCGGCGTCGGCGTATTGTGGCGCCCAGAATAGAGGACGTCTTTTCAGGTAGCGTTGACTCTCGACCATAACCGTATGCGGGCACATCTTCAGGCGAGGTACTGACCCCGTACCCTGCCAAGGCAATCTAAAAATGTGTGTACTAGCTTCTAAAAAAATCAGAGTAGCAAGGTACAATATCAACCTATCGACTTTTTCAGGCATTGTGTTGAAGAAGCAAAAAACTGATGTGCGTCACCAACCCGCGGGAATCTTTCGCGAATTCCACCTTGATATGAAAGGGGCCCGCAAAAAAAACATAGCTGGTGACAGTCACAAAAACACGAAACGACCGAACTCACTTCGCAATAAACTCAATCTTTTCCACGATGCCACTAACAATCCGACACAAAACCTGAACGCGCGTTATTGAGGGACGATGAAGCAACCGACCAACCACGCGGTCTGATACGCGCGATCGGGGATGTGACTGCAAGGTGACGCTCATTTCAACACCGTTGTCTTGGCAACGTGAGGTGTAGTCTACGCCGCCGCACATATCTGCACCACATTTGGAGACAGATGAGAGTAGGGAGATCAATAACCAGTGGCGTAGCTGCACTGCGCAACACTCCCGCCCGTTGTTGACACTGGTCATCGACCGAGGTCCCGGAAGTCACGCACACGTGGCTTCGATATCCTCTTCCACGCAAAAACGCCGTCCTAATCTTGCATGTCTTAAGCAAGGAGCTTCGCTGTAATTGGAGTCCCACCCCAGCCACATCCCAGTCCCGGCGAAGGACCCGTGTTGCAGCCCTACCCCCCCCCCCCCCCTCCCTCCCCCCCCCCCCCGCCTAGCTCCCGTTCTGCACGCGCACCAGCCCGACTGCCGCAGCGATCTGCCCTGCTCGAAACTCATAGTCACATTACGCGACGCGGGGCCGAATAGCCACATCCGAGAAGACCGTTCTAAGACGCAGAGGTTTCTGGTTTATATCGAAAAAGCCTTTCTTCTCGCGTCTCCTGGAGCTTCTTGGAAACTCCCGCCATTGTAGAGGCTCTCGGAACAAATTTATTAGGTTCGTAACCTTGAAGGAAATTGTACGATGCTTTCTACAAAAACATGATGTAGCCCCAAAACAGGAAAACCAAATACGTCTCAAACTTGCAGCTTTTCTGGAAATGGCCTCATCCGCACAAGATAGCCTTTCAATATGCAAACAGGGTCAGCTGATGCGGCAGGTGTCTGTCTCTACGTTGTCAACACAAGTGGCGTATTTACAAAAATTGCTGATGAACACAGGTGGTTTAGGTCGTATTATCAGATAGTAGTATTTGTTATCTCTTTTCACCATATCATTATCAGACAGAAGTCCAAGCTGGTACCAAGTCTGGAATGCACTAAAACTGGGCTAAACAGATGCCCACCCTGGCTTAGTCGGTATGCTCATGGAATGTTGACAGGTCTGCCCAAATAGCCAGTAAATTTTACTCCAAAAGCGATTTTTTTCGCAGTTATTCTCGTCATTTCACGTTTGCGCACTTTATAATTCGATCCCACGTGACGACATTCGCAACGTAGAAGGACAAACAGGCACATGATGACGGTGAAAAACGCAGGAAGCAAAAGTTCCAAGCTATTTTGGTAGACATAACGACAAAAAATTGATTTCTTTCTGATGGATCCTATTCCTTCCGTGCATTTCAAGTCTAGCACCAAAATGACAGCCCTGTCTTATTCATTTCGTCGGGAACGGCGGAGAAATATGCATTAAGCATTCCGTTTCTTCGCCGACACGGCCAACTAACTCCCTACGTTCCGGTACTGATAAAAACTAAGAGAGCAGAACGGACTCTGTTGAGTGTATCGTACGGCGTAAGCATGCTGTGCTGCTCAATGGGGTCACACCGACAAGCGCTCGATCATATTGTCCATGAATGGAAAATACGGCCGTGCTATTACGGTTCAATTAAGTGCCTGGCGTACCTCAAAGGCGCTCTGAGGTTAAGGCTCCTTAGCCACGAATGCCCACTGCTGTCGCCTAACGTTAAGAGCGTCAAGTGCGTACTCCGGTCGATCAGGCCGGTTGAGACCTTTGAGACTCGTTCTCCGTCGAGTTTCCCTTATCCTCTTACCTTGAGAACTGCCGAGTCCGTGACTGCGGTTGAGGCTCGTCCTCCACGCGTCCCTCTTGCTGTTGGAAGCCCGCTCTGTTCTTCGGACTGCGCTTTGACGCTCCACGGGTCGGTAAAAGTTGATGCATACACCATAGCGAGTTTTACCTGCACGTGTGACAGACTCGTGAGGCATACACACAAGTCATTCATTGTCACAGCCTAGCGTGGTGCACCTTTTAACACCAGGGTGAATGATCATAAGAACATAAGTGGGTGAATGCAGTATACCTTTAAACCTAGCAAATGCTTTCACTGATTATGTGCTCATGATCACGACATGGTCATTTACGGCTGGTCGTTAGACCACGTGACTCAACACAGTCCTGAAAATCACGAACCAGCACGGCGTGATTCAGTTAAACCAAAAAAGAATCACTACTCAGCTCAGCTTAAAAAGCACATATGAGTGAAAGTGGACTTCGTTTCGACATCAATAACATACCACTTCAAAGACCCTGAGCTCGTTTTATGTAAAGCAGAACATCAGCTGACACAAGACAACCAAGCCAAAGCTGGGGCTGAGACTCCTGGCTCAAGCGCTGAAAAGAAAATTGATTCAGGCTCGATTTCAGGGCGTCATGACTCGGACCGGCTTCGAAAAAATCTGTACACCCAAAACCATGTCCACATGGTGCTAGCACCAGCGAGAAGACTCCATTACGGTAGTCTGTGAATTTTCGCAACAGTCTGATGTGAGAGTGCTTAAGCACGTGTAATGTTCTGAGCCAGTTCCGACCAATATCATTACGCTCTCAACCTCATTAATTCACGCAGATTAACACGCGCCGTGGAGCATGTACGACGTGTCGATCCTAACGAGCAACAGGCGGCGTATAATGTTGGGTTTGCGGGACCCACTCCAATGCTGCGCTTCGTGAACATGGCGGGCTATCGCAGGGAATGGGCAATATAGATAATCGATAATGGAGCCACGGTGTGACGTGCTGCGGCGGAGCGACCGGTGTGCTCTGCGAAACCACCACCCGTGACCGACATGAAGGTCACCAAAACGGGATCAAGTTGAAAAACACGCAGCCGTTTCGAGCTTCTGAAAGACTGATAACGCCCTTGGTAGCCGACCCATCAAACTAGCGCGGCCTGATACCGCTCTGCCATCCAAAGGCAACACCCCATGTGCCCATTTTGGGCGATTTTCAGTGTTTGATGTCACTTGATTGCCTTCTCAGGCTGCATTTATTCATTTCAACTAACTCTTTAAATAACCGAATTCAGTTAGAGAAGATCAATCAAGTGACATAAAAAACGCAACTTGGCCAAAAATAAACATATGGGGTTCTGCATTTGGAGGGGAGCACTGGTCACGTGCCTGTGCCTGCGCCTCACGCCACGGCCAGGCCGCGTTTGCGAGGGCGGCGCCGCTTTCGGTGAGCCGGCGCCGGCCGTGACGGCTCTGACAGGCGGAGTGACGGCGGTGCCTGTACGTACACACCCAGCCGCGCCACGGGGCATCGCACCGCCCACGGCCGCGCTATTTACCGATCGCACGCGCTTGTCGCGCGCCAGCTAATAAGGCGCGCGCTCGGGTGGCGGCGGACGTGCGACGTTAACGGCGCGAGCGCCCGCGTCACGGGCTCTCACTGGAAGCAGCGCAAACACGTTGCATACGTACCGGGAAGTGCTGGTTATAGATGAGCTACACGGAGGTAGGTGATTAAATCGATGACAACGGAGAAACAGAAAAACAAAACGCGCGCACCGATTCGGCGCATCAGCTGCTCTGTTATAGTGCTGCTGGTTCTTGTGTTGACGCAGTGTTTCGAATCATTTGGTATCCTCTTGTTCTAGTTAAATCGGAGAGCTTTTGCGTTTGCTCGTTGAAATGCCAGAGATGAACATCCAACATAAAACTTGCAGAACCATTGCTTTTAATCCTGTTTTATTTGGGGGAGGGGCCGTTGGAGCCCTGAAGTGGGTCCTTTGGGAGGTGCACACGCAGTGGCGGTGCACAGCCTGGTGGCGTCTTAGTTCACACTGTTACAGGCAAAGATGATGCGGGGAAGTGGCGGCGTTTCAGTCGTCTTTGGTTTGATGGAGTGAAAAAGCCGCTTTTGGAACAAGTATTTTCTGTTCGTCCCACGCGTGAAAATAGCCTTTGTTTAGCCCAGCGTTTCGGCACCTGTTAAAACCAAGCCAACCCACTCCTGCTAGAACTAAACCAAGCCAACCCACTCCTGCTAGAACTAAACCAAGCCAACCCACTCCTGCTAGAACTAAACCAAGCCAACCCACTCCTGCTAGAACTAAACCGAGTCAACCCATTCCTGCTAGAACTAAACCAAGTCAACCCACTCCTGCTAGAACTAAACCAAGCCAACCCACTTCTGCTAAAACTAAACCAATCCAGCCCACTCCTGCTAAAACTAAAACAAGCCAACCCACTCCTGCTAAAACTAAACCAAGTCAACCCACTCCTGCTATAACTAAACCAAGTCAACCCACTCCTGCTAGAATTAAACCAAGCCAACCCACTCCTGCTAGAACTAAACCAAGTCAACCCACTCCTGCTAGAATTAAACCAAGCCAACCCACTCCTGCTAGAACTAAACCAAGTCAACCCACTCCTGCTAGAACTAAACCAAGCCAACCCACTCCTGCTAGAACTAAACCAAGCCAACCCACTTCTGCTAAAACTAAACCAATCCAGCCCACTCCTGCTAAAACTAAACCAAGCCAACCCACTCCTGCTAAAACTAAACCAAGTCAACCCACTCCTGCTAGCACTAAACCAAGGTATCCCACTCCTGCTGTAACTAAACTAAACCGACCCACTCCTGCTAGAACTAAACCAATCCAGCCCACTCCTGCTAAAACTAAACCAAGCCAACCCACTCCTGCTAGAAACTAAACCAAGCCAACCCACCCCTGCCAAAACTAAACCAAGCCAACCCACTCCTGCTAAAACTAAACCAAGCCAACCCACTCCTGCTGAATCTAAACCAAGCCAATCCACTCCTGCTAAATCCAAACCAAGCCAACCTACCCCTGTTAAAACTAAACCAAGCCAACCCACTCCTGTTAAAACTAAACCAAGGCAACTTACGATATGTTTTACGCTATACTGACCGCCGCCCATCTTTTAGTTCAGCCAATTTGTGCTCGGAAAAGAAAGGAAGCCATCCTCTACCCCCTGCCCGTAATGGAGCTGAGAGGAATCATATTGATTCTAATAAGTCGCACTTGCCGTGTCACGTACACCTGGTGAACCTTCCCTCTACTCACCGGTTGCTCTCCCGCAGTCCACCGCCACCAGGGGCTCCCGCCGGTGAGTGTAGTCCCATGCACGCTACTGAGCCACTCCGCCTCTTTTTGTGCAGGCTACCAGTGAGCAGGCACCCGGGCTCCAGCCGCCGGCTAATGCCTTGCTGGTGAGCAGACACCTAAGCCAGCACCCGAGTGCCTCTTACCACGTGCTTGCCAGTGAAAATGAGCAGCTAACCTAGCCCTAAATCACAAATGCTTTCACCTGAGTCTGTGCCGCTGAGCAGGAACGGCAGACATCACCCACACATTGCTCTTGGGGTCACTGCCATTGAACGGTGCTATGAGCCCCAGCCCAAAGCATCAGCCCTCCTCCAGCCGCGGTCACGGTGCGACTGTCATGGCAGCCGCTGACAACATCCCTGTCCGGCCTAATTGCTTCCAACCCTAACATGAGGCTAAGGCTCTCACCCAAGTCCTCACTGGCGAGGAGCGAACTCCTCGCCCATCCCTCGCTCACCTGAGTCCTTGTCGGTGAGGGAGAACACGAAGCTGGCCGCCTCGCGCAGCACCGTCTTCTTGGGGCCGACCGAGACGCAGCCCTCCGGCTGGCAGAAGCAGACCACGTCCAGCGGCAGCGCGAAGTCGGCGTGCTCCTCGGGCGGGTAGCGACGCAGCAGCTCGGGCGTCTGGACGGCCGAGGTGCGCGACGGCGCGCGCGTGCCCACCAGCACCAGGTAGTCCACGAGCCGCGGACAGAGCGGGCGCCGCTCGGTGGCCATGGCGGCGAGCGTCTGCCAGCGGCCGCCGACGCCGCTTATCGGCCCGCTGGTGGCGTAGATAGGCGGCGGGGCGGCCCGGCGCCGACTGCCGGCGGCGATAGTCGGTCAGGGCCGGCCACCCGCGGGGGTGGCACGGCGGAGGGGCGCCGTCGGCCGCAGGCCGCGGGGACGCAACACGGGAAGCGGGCGATGGCTGCGCTGCTACAGGTGGCCTGCCAGCGACAGATTGGAGCCTTTTTCATCTCAGAAAACATCGGGGAATGATGGTGGACATTTGACAAAACTAGGAAATGGGTAATCCGAAGCAAGAACATGTCGCCGCACTTATTTCTATCTGCTTAGCTATGTAGCTCGTAATTGTGGGGTCCAATCACCTTAACTGTCATCCCCACTACGTCATGGAATCCATCGTCCACGCAATGTCATCGATTAAATCTTAAAAAAACAGGATTAGAAGTCCACCACTAATACAAAAGTCTCTAACTTCTAGACACACGTCAAACTTCCGTGAAGACGCCTCATTCTGCGCGGTACGATCAGAGCCTCGGCATATCCGCGAACGTCTCACATCAGATTGTACATATTACATTGCATTGTATTGCGTTGTATTCTCATATTACATTGCATTACATTGTTAGTCCGTCGTAAATCAAAAAGACCATCGCTTGAGAGCATGTCGCCCGGCAATGTGTCGTTTCCGGGTTAACCTGCCGCCCTCTTCGGCGGGTGTGCCGCACTGAGCGCGCCGTCCCGATGACCTTGCGCCCCCCCCCCCCCCCCTCCTTCCCGGTCACGTGGCTCGATGTGAGAGGTGCGTGCGACGGCCCGTCGACGTATCCGCTCGATGAATCGCCCCACGCTCCAGCACTCAGTCATGCGCTTCGGTGATGGCCTCAAGCCGGATCCAGCACAGTTGGAATCGCGCCAGCTGCCGCTGAGATGTGATTGGATCCGGGTCGTTTAGTCACGGCGTGAGGAGCGAGATTTGTGACGTTTTCGGTCCGGTGGAGAACAGGAGCGCGAGTCAGTAAGCCTCGGTGCTCGTATGCGGGGACTGTGGGCCCGTTGAACAGACCTCTGTGTCCAATGTGGCTTGGAATCGTGAAACAGAGTAGCCAAGACCGCGACAGTGGAACCATACACGTGTAACGCTCGCCCCGAAAAGATGGGATACTTTCCATCCGGTCAATTTGAGACCCACTGAACAAGGATGATGGATGTAACCCGTTTTCTGGATGGTTTCAGCAGTAACTATGATACAGACCGGAAATATTAAAGGATGCACAAAAACGAGACAATGGCTGCGTGTGATGGAATCGCAGGCATGTGCCAGTATTGCAACCTTGCGGTTTCAACAGCTCTAACAGTTACTTGCCGATTAAAAAACATGAAAACTGATGCCAAGACCTCAAGAGGAAATATACAAATCTTATAAAAGTCATGTCATTGAAATGGACTCTCACCCGTAGAAATGGAGTGCAAACTTGCAGCAGCGAAATAAATAGTCAAACGTCATCACCACCGCCAGGGGCGACCCACCAAATAGCCAAGTATGTCTATGCAATGAAATTCGCCGAACAATTTATGCACCTTTGTGAGTTGCGGATTATCTCAAAAGTCGGCAGAGATCAGCGCAGAGCGGAAGTGAGCGGGACCCTATAAGGTCTCGTGTAATCATATTCGGCCCCATTCGGGATTCCCACACAAACGTCCTCTCGCCAAAAAATCTACCTACCAAAACATCGGAGTCCCTTGGCTGAGATGCATTAAGGGTCAAAATCTCGCTTCTGACCATATATATTGTAGTCACGGCGCTGTTTGGTTTATCTAATTTCTAAGACACACCTACTATGTTAATGATTTGGTATGATCTGCCAAGAAGATGCTTGCCATGATATTGACCGTGTGGCGAGCCTTCGGTGAGTCACAAAATGTGGTGTAGGCAGTTCGATGCGTCTTCTGAGGGCCTAAACGATTTCTCTCATATTTTTGGGATCAGGTGGAATGTGGTACTCAATCATGAAAAATCAAAGAAAGCCGGCATCCAGGGGTTTAGGTTTTAACAAAACGGTCAAAAGAAATAAAGCTTTACAACCATATTTGCCAAAGCCAATGCAGAGCCAATGAGTTCCCCAGCACCGACCACCGAAAAACTCAGGGCTTGGGTTTAGCGAAAGTACCGGAGAAAATCAGGATTCAACGTTTAATTTTTTAGACAGCTCGCGAGGCTAGGGACTCGGGTCTGAAAAAAGAGCCAACGAAAGCGAGGAGCCAGAGTCTTTTGGGGGCAAAAGGACGAGGGACATCTAGGTACAGTGTGGTTTTCGTCAAAGAACCAATAGAGATCGATATTCAGTGCTGGGATTTCGTAACTGAACCATGACAACCAGGAACCAACATTGGTAGTCGGCACATGTATGGCCGACAGCGCTCCCCTGAACTCCACCAGAGCCGACGGGGCGTTCCGCGTTGCTGCTCTTCATCGACAGAATCGTGTCGGTTGAGTGATCGCGGAGCCAATGCGAAGGTACGGCGCGTCGCTAAAACTTCGCGGAAAGCTCGCCGTGGTCGATGCGACCGAGCATCTTTGGAAGGCGCGTCCCACGGCTTGAGCCAGGCGACCCTCGACTCGGTTGATGGGATGGTTCTGACCGCTTTGACCACAGATCCCCTTCGAATGACCGGACCGGTTGGTACAAATATTGAATACAAGATATGCTTGAGCCATAAGCTTTGCAACTGTCTGTCCATTCAAAAACTGTATGCCCTTTCGTTTATAATTCCTCACAGATTTAACACACTAGCTGGTCTAAAGAAAGACGCTCGCAATTTGCTACCAGACTTGTAGTCGGACACAATGGCCGCTAATTTCCATTAAGCGGGAACTAACCAGCAACTACGGCCGTTTTCATAACACGACGAGCGTGTGTCCCCAGCGCGGCAAAACACGACCACGCCGACCGGAAAGGTCAAATCCCACATCAGCTGGTAAAGAACCAATGACGACGTAGCTGGACGTGCAGCGCATGGTGGCGCCAAGCCCAGGAGACGCCGCGTTGTGAGCATGGCCGGCCTTCCTGGCCGCCGCCGGCGCGCTGGGCGGCGGCCACTCGTGCGGGTCTGTGGCCCCTCTGCCGGATGGCGGCCCTCATGCAAGCAGTGCCTGTTGTATGTCTTTCCTGTTCTTCCTGTCCTGTTGAGACGGAGATTTGGCGGTGCGCTTCGATAAGACTCGTTTGGTAACTCTCCTACTGAAACTTGTGAGTTCCTAAACGCACTTCGAAACTTTCGTTGTTAGGATCAAGGCTAGTGAAACGGCCTGTGGGCACGGATGAATTGGTTAGGGGGCTTGCCGTCTGATCCCCACACCCATGGCGGGGAGAGTTCGAGTCCTCTTAGGCGCTCGCGATTTGACCCGGACAGGAACAGCCGGCGGCTGGTAACAGCGGCCGCGCCAAAGGTCAGATGGCGTAAGAGGGCGAGCGGACCGTGCCATAGATTACGACATTCCGAGCTTTCGCTGCAAAATTCAGCCGTTGACCCAGAACTGCGCTACCGGATAATGGGGTCTGAGCTCAGGTAACAAGCACTACTTAGCGTGCGCACTGATCCCAGAAATCTGTTGAATCAAACCGTCCATCTTAAGCGTAAAAAACGATACCTTTTGATAATGAATTTCCTTGCACTGGTGACTTTTGATAATATAAGCCGGGGTCGCAAATAACCCCCTTGTCTAAGGGTATATCTCATGGTCATGGTCCAGGTATCTACAGCGTCTCGTAAGTCCTCCAATGAGCTTGGAGGTACACTTCTTGGTGAAGATGGGACACTTACACTATATTAAAGCAGAAACAACGGCACTTATCACAATCAGGGACAGTATACGGACTCTTCTGCCCCAAAAATGATCCGAGAAATTTAGGCTTAGCGCGCCATTCATGTCTTGTCTTTCCACAAATTTGAAATGTTGAAATATGATACCATTTGGTGATTTAGGCTTCAAACCCATGCAACGTGACATTCCTGGCTGGCCCACAAAGTGTAAGCGATAACGATCAGATGAAAAGCCTCAAAATCTGGCACTGTTGGTAGAGTTGTGGTGTAATTTTGACAAATATTGTTTTAATATCGTCGGCTCAAAGTTCCACACATCATAGCTATGCTTCTTAATTAGACATTGAACATCGCCTGGTCCCGGCATTATTTTTTCGGAAACTGCGTAAAAACATCTAAACCGGTAGCAAAACTCATTTCGGGTAGTTTGCTGACGGGGGTTGGTTTATGTGGGTTGGTAGTTTGCTGACGGGGACATGGTTTCGCAATCAGTTGGAGGGGCTCCAGCCCCCAGTTTTTCCGTCAACCCTCAATTTTAGGAGGAGTGGGGAGGTATCACTGAATCTTGGAACAATCGAACAACACGTAAACGTGACAGTAGTGTTTGCTATTTTCACCTGGATAAGCCCCTTTCCTCAGCTGATTGAGAAAACGACAGCCTTGGTAAGCTGGTAGGCTGGTGCTGATAAATAACTGTAATGGACAATTATTGCAAACTTGGTCGCTAATTGCCTTACTCGAAGCTTAAATGTCTGTGATATTCGCTTTTTGCGTCGTTATTAGGGACAAAGCAAATACCAAAACGTTTCTGTAGATTTGGAGAATGACGCAAAGATATCTGTCTGGTCACATATTTTTAACAAAATGTTCTTCCCATGTTTTATTAGATCTTGTGCTAGAAACAATCGACCTCCAAGGCATCATGACACACTGCCCAAATGGTGATTTGAAGTGACCTTTGGGAAATATTATGGAAACACTGGGCAATTTTAAAATATGACAGCATTTTGATGAGTTCCATAAATATCCAGATGATTGTGTCATGGCTTCATTTAATCAGCACTTACTGGTATAATGCAGACCGTCCATCATCATCATTAATACCTAAACATAATGATAGCACAGCTAAGAAGAATATCACTTGCAGCCAAGAGCGAATAATATTATGCAGCATTCTAATTAGTTTGTCATACCTGTAAAGCTATTCGATTACAGCATATGATATGCGTATGCATGATTTGCAATGGGGCTAGGAGGGCAAAACTCAAGATGTCTACCTGAAAAAGCGTTTTTGCGCATCGCATGCGCGCCATAATTGTAACTAGCGGGACAAAGAGAACCCCGACAACAGCAGATGCATATCGCCACTGGCTCTGTGTTCCAAAATTACGAAAAAGTGGTATCTGATATCCTGGAAGTACACGGACGAACCGCCCTAACGCAGAGCCAGCATAGCTTTCCTTTCTGAATGCACTTGCGTCTCCAATCTCAGCTCTGTCCTAAAGCTCAGATGGAGCTCGATGCAGGAGTGTGCACTCACCGACGCTATTCATATCGACTACTCATCAGCCTTTACTAGCCGTATCACGATGTACTTCTTCACAAGCTGAAACTTAATGCAACACATAACTGAGGATTCGCTCTCCCAGATCGAGTCTCACCTCGCACGACGTCAGTGAGTTGTGCATACTCTTCGGCTGGAAAGCGAGTTTGGCTGGAGTCCCTGAATGAAACATGTGAGCCTGGACTGTTCATTCGTTGCAACGTTGATTTTACGCTTTTCATTCATACAAACTGCAGTCCAGCGGCCTAAAGCCAGCTTTCAGCAGTTTTCTCAGCAGTCCAGGGGCATCATTCTCAGCGGTATTTTCAGCAGTCCAGGGACATCACTCTCAGCAGGATTCTCAGCAGCCTAGAGACATCGGAATGTCATCCTCCAACTTGTTTTCCAGCAAAGTGCGCTCACCATGTTCCTCCTAAGCCTGAGTGCCCGAGCGCTTCCCCAAGCTTTACAATGGCAGTCATGAATGGCATGTGCATGTGCATACAATGGCAATGGCAGCCACCTCCATGGTCTTGGCGAAAGGTGCTGGACTCGTAATCCAGCGGCACTGGGTACGAGTCCCAGAGTGGGCGCATTGTTTCACCCGACTGAAAGGGAAAAGCCAGCTGGCATCTGGCCAACGAGGTTCAACCTAGACCCGAGACGACCGTCTCGCAGCATTGTGCGGCACGTAAAACCCTCCGCATTCCTGTCTGGCGAAAGGGCGGAGGCAAAATTAGCTGTTGAACTGGACGGCACGCTTTGGTGGTGGGTTCGGAGTACACGCAACAAGCTATGCTTAGCAGGTACTCTGAACCTGAAGTCACCCATGCAAACCATTCGGGATAAATTTTAAAAAAAAATGAAGACAGGCGGGGCGAAGGGAGCAACCATCTACATCGCAAGGATCCCGCTCATCTCTTCTAGCATGCTCTCCGAGCTCAAGCGGATCCGATTTCCTATCGAGCAGAGCTAAACCACAACTATCAACAAAGGCTAAAATCGGTTCCTGAAGGTAATTAGTTACAACCTGATTGAGCCAGTGTTCTCAGTTCTCTGTTCCGTAGAACGGAGTGACCTGTTCCGTGTCAGATGTCTTAAGTGGGTAATCTGAGACTGGTGCGTATCTTGTGCAGTTTGTATGTTGCCGTTTGTCGGTGCTTTCTTTGATGTTGGACGTGTGGTACTTTGATATTTTGAGAGCGCATTAATTGTTTGGGTCAGCAAATGATTTACTGCCGGCAATTTCGTTGGAGCATTCCCACAATTAAAGTAAAAAAGAACGCTAGACAAGTCGGATCAATGTTCAAATCAAAACCAAATCTGCCTATGTCTAATATATCCTCTTCAACATAGATTTTGCCATTACCCGAGCCTTGTTTGGCATTTCAGTAAGTGAACAGCGAACAATGGTGTGTAACGGAAGCGCGCGAGCACCTTGATTTTGTACCAATTCAAGACAGAGGCGCGTGCCTCAATGCCCCTTGAATGTACCCCTGTAAACACCTGAAGGTCCGAAAACCCGACGACTGCAGCTTTTGCTACTGGTTCTTGCGCTGCTCATCTTCTGAACGACCAGTGGAATGTGATCTTGTGCAATATGCACGTAACGGATTGTCAGTGGCGTGAGTTCTAGATTTTTTATGCGCAGTAATGAATCTGTACGGATACAACTGGGAATGACAATCGCTTAGTTACCTGGTGCTGCTTTGGGTTATTGCGTATCAACAAGCAAACTCATCTGCAAAAGTCCAGATTAGAATTTAGCAAATGCTGTTTTCATACCAACACCAGTCAAATTATTCAGGCTTCTTAATGAGTCCGAGCAAAGCCGTGGCGTCGCGGCTAGTCGGGTGAAATACATCCTAAACAGCATCTTAAAAGCGTTAGTAGTACACACGCATGTCATCTAGCTCTGCCGCGAGGTGGGGCGCAAATTTGCAAGTGACCAAATAAATTGCCTCTTGACATGTCACAGCTAAGACATAGCATCTAAAGATCGGCCACACGCGAGCACTGTAACGCATCGGATAGATCTGAATAGAACGTGCCGGCGGCGGGCCAGGCCGGCGCCAGCCCGCGGCGGGACCGGACGTACGTACCTGCCGGAGGCGCGGGCACCACGCGCTCGGACCGGCGCGCCACCCACCTGTGCGGTCGCCTGGGCCGCCGCTCTATTGATTGCCGGACTGCCGACGACTCGCGGCAAGTCGGCCGGCACTCTCATCTTAACGCTCACGGACGCCGCCGCCGGAATCGATACACAGGAGACTGTCGACAGAGTCATCTGCTGAGCAAACAAGCTACCTGAGCTACCAGCCGGCTCACCAGAGGCCGCACACCGACCGGGCCCGTCTGTCCTCCGCATCGGCTGGCCGAACAGTTTGGTTTCACCAAGCCCGGATGTGCATCAAAGCGCCCAAAAATGGTTCAACGGAAAACCAGCTCAGAACTTCTGCTGAGGACATGAGGGAGCTGTGCAGTCGGACCACGTCCCACATTTTTTTGTTTTTTGTAGGGCGTGACCCGTTTCTGCGCGCCTGACTCCGCCACTGGCTCCAGCATGTAGGCCCGGTGCGCGCAGGCTCGACCCGGCCGAGCGGTCGGAGGGGGCGTGACGCGCCGACAGTGTGTGGCGCCGAGCCATGAGCAGGGTCGCCGACGCCGACTGCTTCTTCGGGGGCCGCGAGGAACTGCTCTCGCCTGATGATAGCATGAACGCCTGCTTCACGGCGTTTGACAAAGACAGGTGAGGCCCCGGTCTGACGACTGCCGAGGTCAGTGCTATCCGGACTCCGGTAACTTTGAGACAGATTGCGTCATCTTTGTGTGCCGTTCCGGCGGACATGACATAAAAACCGATTGCACAACAGTAGCTTTTAAATCGTCGTTACGTCATTGGGTGAGGTGTGTTTGTGGGCGTGGGAGGGCTTCTGTCGGTTTTGAATTAGGAGGCACGATGCTGCCCGGGAATGTTATGGGGATAATTCTCATGTATTTTGTCGCGGGAATTCGTGCTCTCAACGTCCTGCTCAATGTTTTTGTGAACTTTGCCATGGCAGCCAAGAACAGTTTGTAGAGAAAGCTAACCTCAATACTGAGGGGCTGAGCATTTTGGTGCCCGGTGGCCGACTCGAGATTCTCGATAACGTTTTACGACTGAAACCAGCTTGTTGGGATTTGGCAGTCTGTGCGGCAGGTGTGTGTGTACAATGACAACCGGCTGCACGTGATGGAGATCGTAGTTCGGTGGCCCATTTCGTCTGCTTCAGGGATGACCGTCGGAGTCTGGTGAAGTTCGGGGCTCGGTCGGCTTTTTTGACCCTTGCTTCAGGGACAACCGGCTGATTGTGGTGGGGTTCGGAGTTCGATGACCTATTTTGTCTGTCGCTTCAGGGACAACCGGCTGAGTGTGGTGGAGTTCGGTGGCCTATGCAGGGCCCTGTTCCGAAACGATGCTGGCAAGCCCTACCTCCTGGAGGCCAGGAAGCTGGCCGAGATGTTCAGCGTCTTCGACAAAAACGAGGTTAGCTGCGGCTCCGCGGCTCCCCGGGCTTTGGAAATGAACACCACACTGACAGCGTGCCTGCAACGCATTCTAGATGTCATTGTAATAGAATCTGCTGTGGTGCGCGCTGTAATATGGGGAATTATCACGGGCCAAGGCTGCTCCCCATTTGATGTAAATCAGGACGGAAATGATATGCCGAGACTTCCAGAGCCCAGCTGATGTACAGATAAGATCCAGCATGTGCAGCCGCGAATAGGATGAAGCTTTTTATGAACTTAGGACCCTAAAATTCAAAATGAAACTCAAATTTGAGTAAAAGCACACTGTTGTGTGTTAATGAGTTATTTCGCGCAAGTGCGCCGCTGGTTGTGGGCTGTGTTGCCTGTGTCGTGATGGAGGGTATTTGTGCTCGCCGGTCCCGATTCATGACTTCTGATTTGGGCACTCCTCAACAGGATGGCTACATTGACCGAGAGGAGTTCAAGATGTGCTGGAGCAAATGGATCAAAACGGTAGGCGTTTCTGTATACTCGTCCGTGTCAACAGGAGCATTTTACTTCTTCGTTTGGGATTTTACTGCGCACACATACACCTGAAGTGGCGTCCGATCTAGATTGCATAATCAGTTTCTCAATCTATTCCTCGGCTGCTCAGGTGTTCCATTTGAAATAGCGGATGTAGGGAAATTCGACCAATCGGTAGTTTCTTATCAGTCCTAAAAACGCAATTTGCCAAACAAGAATTGCTTTGTCTTTTTTACAAACTTCCCGCCGCATAGGGGATTTTGTGGCCCAGTTGCTTTGTAAAGACTTGTGCAAGACCTTTTGATAATCTACTTGAATCAAAACGGGGCCTCAAAGCAACGCGCTTGAACGGATCTCTCACAGGGTCAGGCTTGGATGTGCGAAATAAATTTCACTGATGTAATCTGCATGTATTCTATATTTTGAATTCTCAAGGGGCCTTTGCAGTGCTCTCAAGTACACTGATAATAATTAAGAGGCATCGAACCTATCAAAAATTGCTTTTGAGCTTATCGCGCTAGAAAATAGGAAGCGGTGAAATTCCTTAGAAGCGTAATGCCTTCTTTTTTCCCATTTTTTTTTTCTATAAGTGCTGTAATCATGACGCATATGTTTTGGCTTCACCTTGGACGCAGCGAAAATCAAGCACTGGGCAGTGGTAGTCGATATTTTGGGGTTTCGTTTTGTAGCATTAACAACGTCTTGGTCTCTTCACATTTAAAAACGTACCCGGGCACGAAATTAACTCAGTTAAGAAAATTCAGTTATGCTCACATCTCAAGATGTCATATGTTATTTGTGTTCCATTTGCTTCGTCTGAAATTCACCGTCTTCGTCTCCTACACATCATCAATTTTTCCTGGCCGTCATTAGCCTTGACCCGCTCCTGGCAATTTGTCACAGCGACAGTCAGTACTACCCCGGCCCTGATTCTGCCACTATCGCCAGCAGCTGCTGGATGTCGTCAGTCTCAGGCGGAGGTATTCACGCGTGGTTGTGTTACATGTGTGCATGCAGCGTTGTGTTCCCGACATACTGGCGGCCGAGCAAATAGAAATAGCCTGGTGTTTTCCACTTGGCGAGTATCTTACATCGCGTTTGACGAAGCGGACCTGGTTGCCTAGGTTCGTCGGTGGCAGGGTCAGGCCTTCTGTGAGTATGATTGCCAAGCCTTGTAGTAAGTCACTCGTGATTTTCTCGGCGGGCAACAACAACGGATCTTTCGAGAATGGTAACGTAGATAACAACGGATGCCAGTTTTATGTGGCTTCCGTTTTGAATTAGGATAAAGCTTATCCGGACGATTATTTGAAAAGTGGATGTTTTTGTTTCGTGCGTAGACGTTCTGTATTTGTATTATAGGGTATGATGTAAAGAAGGCGATTTTCACATCCTCAGTTATCTGAAATTATATGAGGCCATTTTATGAGTGTTAATATATCAAATCAGTTCCATTAGTTATCTGAAATTATGGGGCTGTTGTATAAGTCTTAATATATCTCATCAGTTCCATTAGTGTCTGAAATTATGTGAGGCTATTGTATAAGTGTTATTACATCTCATCAGTTACATTCATACGCGACGTCCAGGTGGAAGTGATGTCCTTAAAAGGGCTGATTGAACGCTTTTTGAAGTTATTATTTCTATTCATCGTAGGGATGAACACTCACTGGGTTGTGCGGCTTGGGCTGAACCCGCCGGCGGGTCATACGAGCTCTGGGATAACTGAGCTTTACCACTGCCCTGACGACTTCAACTTGTTACCATGTTGAGTAACCGGGATGCTACCTTGTCAAAGGTCCGCGCTGGAGGTTAGTATGAAAGGCCAAATATCTCAAGATCTCAGACATTAAAATGGAAGGACTGCGCTCTGCGGCTATACTTGTCACTGCAGGCAACGCATCAGTCATATTTATTGGGTCTGCTGGTGTAAACTGACCATATCATGAGAGCCATCATAGCCCGCAATCTTATGCAAGGGTGATGTGAGACCAAGATCACATCATGTCAAGCTGATCATCATCAACGGCAGCGACTGTTACATGGACATGGCAATGGTCAGGAGCGTGTTTACATAGTGGACATCGGGACGGCACGGGGGCTCCATGTCCTGCCATGGCGTACATGTTCTACTTTGAGCGACACATTTTGAGCTGTGAACCCCTCCACCGCGAAATCCTGCATAAGCCACTAGCAGTTGTAAGCCAAGGATCACTGTGGACCGAGGTACCCTGGATCGGTGTACACCCGCCCCGGTCGCTGCCCGTGGCCGTGTGCAGGTGACTTAATGAGTGAGGCCCGTCCCAGAGAACGTCACTGACCGCATTCGGTCGGACGTCCCGTCCCTGACAATGCTGCTCTCCGCGTGCAGGTAGTTCGGCCGGTGTCGGCGTTCGTCATTGTGGATGTGCAGAACGACTTCATCTCGGGGTCGCTGGCCGTCTGCAACTGTTCCGCTCAGCATAAAGGCGAGGAGGTGAGCGCGCGCTGGCGCCCGGACCTCAGAGTGGGTGGCGGACACGTCCGCGAACCGTCCTGCCCTGTCCGATGTAACAGCGGCAAGGAGAGCTTGGTAAGCTCCCGCGCCCGTAGTACTCAATGAGGGTGCTCACATCACACCGACTCAAGGATAACTTGAAAGGATCTCGCGTCCGTAGGACTCAGTGAGTGTACTCACATCACGCTGAATCAACGAGAACTTGGTAAGCTGTTGCGCCCGTAGGACTAATGGGGGGCAGGGGTTCTCACATCACACTGGATCAAAGAGAACTTGGTAAGCTCCGGTACGCGTATTACTCAGGGAGGGTTCTTACATCACACTGAATTGTTTGTCTTGGACAGCGAAACGGCAAGAAAGCAACTGCTAAGAACTGATACCGATACTGGTGCTGCCCGATACACCTGGCCGGACGAGTACCCCCGCGCCATCCCAAGTGTTCTCTTCGGCACAAGGGTGGAGAGGTATACTCCGATGCCCGGTACTGGCTGGCGAGTGGATGGGTTCCGTCATCTCACATAACCCCAACTGTACTGCGCTTCTACAGCTGCGCAGGTTCCCTTTTACCGCCTCTGATGCGCCGTGGCGTAGACACCCACATCAAAAGGACGGCTTCGTACATGACGATCAAACGCGGCCGGGAAGCCCGGAGACCACGCCCGAAAATGGCGCGGGGCTGCGGCTCCGGGGGCAGTCAGCTAGGCGAGGCATCCGAGCTGCGCCTCTGATGCCTGTGATCCGACCGGTCTGTTCGCCGCCCCCGGCCTGCCGTTCGGGCGTACGAGGTCGGGCGGAGGGCGGTCAGGCGCCGGGCCCGGCGCCTGGTATCGCCTGGGGCGGCGGCGAAAGGTCAGAGGTGGGTTGCGGCCTCCGAATGGACTCGATGACGAATAATAGCCGCCGCCTGCTGCCGACGGTGCCCGCTCGGGCGCTGAAGAGCGAGGCTCACTGGAGCTGCCATTGTGCCGATGTTGCAATGACGGCGTCATTCGCATCTTTACGCTCATGCTGGGTTGACTGTCAGTGTGCACGCCGCTACAGGTAAACTCACTGCACACTATTTTGTGAAGAACCTCTTACAGGAGGCTTCCCTTTAGAACATGGGTGTCGCTGGTCGTCTTGTGTCGAATGTTCTTCGATCTGAGGAGCACTGGTGTTGGGTTAAGGACAATATGGTCGATTCGATTGACATAAAAGTCTTACAAAACACATGGAAAAGTAAACTTAACAAAGCGTAACATCACCGCCAGCGCTGTCCGGGGCCTATTAGTCGGTTCCCGCAAGTTATGACGTCCCTGGCGGCATGACGCGCAAACTGCGGCCGACCGTCTCTCGCGTCCGAACCTCGTCCCAGCATTAGCCTTGCATGGGGTCGCGTGACCGAGTACAGTCAAACGCTACGTCGGTCCGTGGCATTTGCAAAAGTTGGCCTTCGTGTCGGAAACAGGCAAATAGAAGCGAAGCCCGTTAGTCGTGCCTTGCACGCCGCGTATCAGCAAAGATGAAGCAGACGACGCATGCATCTTTGGACGACCACGACTCATGACGGTAACAAACGAGAGAGAGAGAGAGAGAGAAGAGAGAAGAGAGAGAGAGAGAGAGAGATAAGCGGAGGAGAGAGAGAGCAGAGAAGCGAAGAGAGATTAGGGAGAGGGATGGAGAGGAAGGGGAGAGGGATAGTCTAGTTAGATGGATAGTGAGAGGACGAAGGGAGCAGGATTACTTGATAGGCGTGGAGAGGGAGATGGAGAGGGAGTATATTGAGAGGGAGAGGGCGCCTTGTGCGGCATACGTTACACGCGACGTTTCTGACGTGTGAAACGTGATGACAGAATACTAAGCACTTCGATGCAGGGGTGTCAAGATCGTTAAATTAAAGAACTAAGCCACGCCAATATATCACTATTCTTGTAATGAAAGTGTCTTAGGCCAAATCCCATGTACCGATGATCATGTAAATACCAGATGGCGAAATATCTGGTGTTAGTACGATGTCATGACTTATTGAAAACGGGCAGCGGATCGTATCCCGTAGGCCTTCCAGAGCTGCTAATCTGTTTCGGCTTACTGACGGTCAAACCATTTGTGTAGTTATTTCCGGGAAACCACGCCTGTGGTAGCTCGTCGTGTATGTTAAACAAATGGCTTTCTTGCGCACGACCAATGGTTTGTCGTGGCATTCGCCTGTCTCATGCTCCTGCTCGGAAGGCAGGAGACGAGCCTGACCTTCTCGTGATGAAAGGTCACAATTATCAGCCCTGATCCTAATCGACTATTGATTCATTGCTTTGTGTAGTTACTGGTATAGTCGTTCGAGCTCCGCGATATTTCCGGGGAACAAATTATTCCGACATCGGCGGTTGACTCGGCCGCCTAGCGTTGTCAATATTCTGAGGCGTCCCTCACCGCGGCAGCTACCAGCAGCTCGCTTTTGCTTCACGTAATCTGAAGGCTGGCTGCTTTTATGGCTTATCATGAAGATAAAAGCACGTGTTTTTACGACGTCTGCTCGTCACGCCCTCATTTAAGCTAAATGAGCGGGATAAATTTAGGAATCCTAGAGAAAACAAATACCTAACGTCCTGTCCTAGCCCTCCCCCCCCCCCCCCCTTCTGCTCCCGCATGTGCACGCACGCTAGGTCACACGCTCCCCGCCCCGGTCGGGGTGCAGGACCGCGGTGGCGGTGGGGAGGGAGGGAGGGGCCGGGCCGGGCGGGGCTCAGCCGTCGGCGGTGCCGGCCCGTGCCTGGTGCCGTGAGGTCAGCCCGACCCACCGACTAGCGGCCGCTCGCCCAACCCGACCAACGCGACTCCTCCTGCCGCCCCATCAGCGGCGGCGGCGGCGGCGGCACGCGGGCCCACGGACGTCCGACCGGTGATCCACCGACCCACGCACGTCCGACCGGTGATCCGCGGACCCACGGACGTCCGACCGGTGATCCACAGACCTACGGACGTCCGACCGGTGATCCATGGACCGACGGGCGTCTGACCGGTGATCTACGGACTCACGCACGTCCGACTGGTGACCCACAGACCCACGGACGTCCGACTGGTGGTTCGCGGACCCACGGACGTCCGACTGGTGGTCCGCGGACCCACGCACGTCCGACCGGCGATCCATGGACCCAAAGACGTCCAACTGGTGACCCGCGGACCCGAGTACATCTGACCGGTGACCCGCGGACCCACGGGCGTCTGACCGGTGATCCATAGACCCACGGGCGTCTGACCGGTGATCCACGGACCCACGGGCGTCTGACCGGTGATCCACGGACCCACGGGCGTCTGACCGGTGATCCACAGACCCACGGGCGTCTGACCGGTGATCCACGGACCCACGGGCGTCTGACCGGTGATCCACGGACCCACGGGCGTCTGACCGGTGACCCGCGGACCCACGGGCGTCTGACCGGTGATCCACGGACCCACGGGCGTCTGACCGGTGACCCACGGACCCACAGGCGTCTGACCGGTGATCCACGGACCCACGGGCGTCTGACCGGTGACCCACGGGCCCACAGGCGTCTGACCGGTGATCCACGGACCCGAGTGCGTCCGACCGGTGACCCAATGGAGCTTGGCAGGCGCGGTTGGCAGGGCCGGCAGGATTTGGGATGGAGCACCCTGCACCAGCAAGGGAAGTGAGCAGGGTCCTTAACACTCGGTGTAGAAATACAGTCAGTCCATAGCAAAGGTATATTAATAGGGCGATACCGAGTAAAGAAAGGGGCCACTCGAAAAGTGGGATTGGTTCCTTACCTTCCGGAACGTTGTTACACCACTGGTCAATTAAGTGACAGGGGGGGGGGGGAGCTTTTTTCATGGTTCTTCCGCTGAGGAGGAGCTCAACGTCAAACACGGTAGCATCCACTTCATTGGAAATTTCCGCACGCTTTTTGTTGAGCGTTTGAAAGTCTCAGAGGGTCAAGATCCATAGACTAACCTTTTTGAAGCCCATGAGCTCTGAACCTCACTGGCACATATCTCTCAACTTTGGAAGACCTTGCGCTGTTTTATTCATTGACGTGTCTTGTTCAGTCGTTGATATGGTCGGGCAGGTTAATGCAATACTTCTTTCTCCCATCGGACCTGACGGGGCATACCACAGGTTGTCACTTGTGGGAGTCCACTGTTCCTTATATGATGGAGTTTTCCAGAAGCTATTCAACGCCGTTTTTCGAATGTCGCAGCATGCTTAGTTCCTATGGTAGCAGGATGACCTACAAAGTGCGAATTTAACGTATGTGGCCTTATTTGGCCTGCCAAAGGTCGTATTTGTATTGATTTAGTCACACATGTCGGGTGCAATTTGACGAGTGCCTTCCAATAACGTCTCATTTGCGTGGCTGTGGCTTGCTTAAGTTTTTAAATCCTTAGGAGTCTCTGGGGTCTCTCTTGGAGAGCGAAGAAGAAAAAGCGTTCTTAGAGAGAGAGGTGAAACGAGGCACCTCTTTGCTTGGGTAATTTCAAACATGATGGTCGTCTAACTGTTACTGCGTGCAGTACATGTAATCTTGGTTGCTGCCATTTATTGCCTCTCTGTATTCGCCTGAGTCTATGTCCATGACCTGAACCTTGGCTGAGGTAATTAAGGAGACAGCGGATGGAGGAGAGCGCAGCTTTTCAGTTTTCAAAATGGTGCATGCGCCGATCAGTGGAAGTCCGCCGCTCTATGTGTTTCCAAGCGCTGTGTATTGGTATCGGTAAAACTTGCGCCGTTTTAATCCGTGTTACACTGTGAACAAGCTTTGTCTACTGTTGACGGCGAAGAGCCAGAGCTCCGCTGTTGCCAGGTGTTACAGACACCGAGGCGCAATTCAGCCGCCGTCATAACTCTGCTGCGAGTGACTACACAGGGCCGGATGGCTCGCCTCCCTGCATTATGACATCGCTGAAAAAGTCATGCTCGCTCGCAGTTGGCATGATGCTGGGCTGTGTTGCGTGACCGGCGGGCGGCCCTGCCCCTGGCGGTGCCA